TCCAGGTTGGGCTGGTGGCAGCAGCCTCCGGTCTTAGCTTTCTGGTACCTGGATTGCAGCTAGAGCAGCATGTCTTGGAGCTCAACCTTCCTGAAGGTCATAAAGGGAATGGCTTCCCTGGGAGCGTTCTGGGAGTTATTTGTAAAAGCCTACTCCTCCTGCCCTTCCAGGGGTTTGGTCATTGCCTAATATTCGTGTTGAATTCCTTCTGTTTTTAAACCCTGGAAGTGATTTTGTTCTCTCACCTGATTCCTGACTGATAAATACATCGGTGTGGCTTGAAGAGGCACCTGGGTGGTTTGATTCTGATATGACCTCTCCTCTCCTTGAGAATCACTGATGTGAGAGAAGAATGACATGAAAAGATGTCCGTGATATACTCAGAAATGAAAGGAAATTACAAAGTTGCAAATTGTCTGATTCTCTGCTCCCTTTCCTCAAGGTGTGTGAGTCTGTAACCCAGATATCTGCCTCGGGAGATTGCCGATATTTCCAGCCGCAGAGTTCCTAATTATTCAAATGCAAGGATTCTGGCCTCTATTCCCCATACTCTGGTATCCACCCTCAAATAAGATTTTTCAAGGGGCTCATTGTTCCAGAGACTGCCAAATGTTCAGCCTTCAGTGTGTTTTCATCATCATTTTTTGTTCCTTGCTGTACTACTGACCCCAATCTTTGTGTGCAGCAGACCTTATTGAAGATATGAAACACAGAATCAGAACACTTTACAATTTGGGTGACAGCTGACTACAGAACATTAGATATCCATGCCCCTGATAACTACTTGCCATTCTCCCTCCTTAAGGCAGTGCTTGATGTCCCTGTGTTTGCCACCTTTCCCAGGGCTGCCCACCAGCCTACACTGTGCCTTAGAGCAAATTAGAAAAAGGTGCCTGCTCTGAGTGGTGCTGATGCAATACCTGCCCCAAAAGAACATGTGGGCAACTAAGGAGTTTATGCTGCATCATATATATATATATATACTAGAGCCCAGTGCACAAAAAATTTGTGCACTCGGGGGGGAAGGGGGGTCCCTCAGCCTGGCCTGTGCCCGCTCGCAGTCTGGGACCCCTCAGGAGATAACGACCTGCTGGCTTAGGCCTGCTCCCAGGTGGCAGAGGGCAGGCCCAATCCCTAGGTGCAGCCCCTGGTCGGGCTCAGAGCAGGGCCGATTGGGGAGTTGGGGCGCTGCCCCCTGTCATGCACAGAGCAGGGCAGATTGGGAGGTTGCGATGCCACCCTCAGTCATGCTCAGGATAGGGCCGATTGGGGGGTTGGGGCACCGCCCCCTGTCACACTCAAAGCAGGGTTGATGGGGAGGTTGCGGCGCCACCCCCTGTCACGCACAGAGCAGGGCGGATCAGGGGGTTGGGACGCCGCCACTGTCACACTCAGGGCAGGCCTGATGGGGAGGTTATGGCTCTACCCTGTCACACACAGAGCAGGGCCCATCAGGGGGGTTGGGGCTCCTTACCCTGTCACGCACAGAGCAGGGTCGATCAGGGGGTTGGGGAGCTCCCCCCTGTCACGCACAGAGCAGGGCCCATCAGGGGGTTGAGGAGCTCCACCCTGTCACGCACAGAGCAGGGCCGATAGGGGAGTTGGGGCACCGCCCCCTGTCACACACAGAGCAGGGCGGATCAGGGGGTTGGGGCGCCGCCCTCTATCACCCACAGAGCAGGGCCGATCAGGGGGTTGGGGCACCGCCACTGTCACACTCAGGGCAGGACTGATGGGGAGGTTATGACTCTACCCCATCACACACAGAGCAGGGCCCGTGGGGGGGGGGGGGTTGGGGCGCCGCACACTGTCACACACAGAGCCGCAGGGCAATCAGGGGGTTCGGGAGCTCCCCCCTGTCATGCACAGAGCAGGGCTGATCAGAAGGTTGGGACGCCTTCCCCTGTCATGAACAGAGCAGGGCGGATAGGGAGGTTGTGGCCCCGCCCCCTGTCACACACAGAGCCGCAGGGCGATCAGGAGTTTGGGCGCTGCCCCCTGTCACGCTGATCCCGGTGCTGGGAGGCCTCGCTGCTCCGCTGACCCTGGTGCTGGGAGGCATATTACCCTTTTACTATATAGGATAGAGGCCTGGTGCATGGGTGGGGCTGGCTGGTTTGCCCTGAAGGGTGTCCTGGGCCAGGGTGGGGGTCCCCACTGGGGTGCCTGGCCAGCCTGGGTGAGGGGATGATGGCTGTTTGCAGCTGGTCACACACCCTTCAGGGTGGGGGTCCCCAGTGGGGTGCCTGGCCAGTCTGGGTGAGGGGCTGAGGGCTGTTTTCAGGCTCGCGGGTGACTGAAGCTCCCAACTGCTCCTTTTTTTCTTTTTTCTTTTTATTCTGGGCTAGCTTTAGCTCTGGCTCCAGCTCTGAGGCCTCTGCTGGGTTCTATAAGCGAGACACTGTATCAACTCCAGCTCTGAGATCCCGGCTCACTGAAAGCTGGTTTCTGGGGTTTTGTTTAGCGTCTATATTTGTTACAATGTTTCAGACTGCAGGTTCAGAGGCCGGCAAGGCAGGCGGGGAACATTGGAGTCCTCGTCACTGAAGCAAGCAAGCCTCATGTTAGTTTCAAGCTGCCTCGCTGCCGGCCACCATCTTGGCTGACAGTTAATTTGCATATCTCGCTGATTAGCCAATGGGAAGGGTAGCGGTCGTATGCCAATTACCATGTTTCTCTTTTATTAGATAGGATTGATTTCAGAGAGGAAGGGGGAGAGAGAGAGAGAGAGACAGAAACATCAATGATGAGAAAGAATCATTGATCAGCTGCTTCTTGCACGCCCCCAATGGGGACTGAGTCCACAACCCAGGCATGTGCCTTCTACTGGATTCGAACCTGGGACCCTTCAGTCCCCAGGCCAATGCTCCATCCACTGAGCCAAACCAGCTAGGGCTATGCTCCATCTTAACTGGGCAGCTGCCACTCTGTTCTGGCCAATTGAAGTATATCAGGAATGATGTGAGCCAGGCTTGCAGGCCTTCTAAAAGGAAAAAAAAAAGGCCAGAAACCCAGATTTTAATTTTATTGTTGTTGTTGTTAATCCTCACCCGAGAATATTTTTCCGTTGATCTTTTTAGAGTGGAAGAGAGAGGGAAGGACAGAGAGAAACATCCATGTGAGAGAAACACATCGATTGGTTGCCCCTGCACGAGCCCCAACCAGGGCCTGGGATAAAGAGGAACCTGCAACCAAGGTACGTGGCCTGGACTGGAATCGAACCCGGGACCCTTTGATCCACAGGCTCTATCCACTGAGCCAAGCCTGCTAGGGCTCAGATTTTAATTTTGATTTTAATTTCATTTGTTAGTAACTAACAGGCAAATCAAAATATTTAATAACTACTTATTATGTGTCAGGTACTTTCCTAAGCACTTTGTAAGTATCAATTATTTGGCCTGTATACCAACCTGTATAGTAGTTACTATCATTATCTTCACTTTGCAGATGAGGAAACTGAGGCAAGGAGATTAAGTTGTCCAAAATCCTCTGATTAATAAGTGGCAGAGCAGGATTTGAACTCAGGCCTCTGCCTCTAGAGACTACTCTCTTAATCATCATGTTTTACTGCTATGAACTAAATTTGGCCCACGCATTGCAAATTTATTATCTGTGTTAGAGCCAGGTACAATCCCATAGAGCTTTCTGTGATGACAGAGATGTTCTATTTTGTGCTGTCCAATGCGGTAATCACTAGCCACATGTGTCTGCTGAGTACTTGAAATGTGGCTAGTGCATATGAGGAACTGATTTTTTTTTTAAAATATATTTTATTGATTTTTTACAGAGAGGAAGGGAGAGAGATAGAGAGTTAGAAACATCGATGGCAGAGAAACATCGATCAGCCGCCTCCTGCACACCTCCTACTGGGGATGTGCCCACAACCCAGGTACATGCCCTTGACCGGAATCGAACCTGGGACCCTTCAGTCCGCAGGCCGATGCTCTATCCACTGAGCCAAACCGGTTTTGGCTCTCCTGTCTTTTTAAACCACGTTCTGGGGGAGGACTTTTGATATTCATTGGCTCATGGGGCCCAACAGCTATTTTCCTCCACAGGAGAATCCTGGCTCTGATAGGAATCGTGCTACTCTCTCCCAGGGGCAGAAATGCAGCAGCCATGGGTTTTGTTTTCCAGATTGTATTTCCCCCTCTTTGATGTAGATTAATATGTGTAAAACAGATTGCAAAGATACATGCCACAATGCTAATGGTTATGTTTGTGCAGATGAATAATTAATATATCACCTTATTTTCTTTCTCGTGCCTTTACATTTTTTTCTACAGTGAACAAGTAGAAATCATATAAAATTTTGAAATCATATAAAAATAGTTATAAAACAATTCTCTTGAATTCCCAGGATGTCAGCAAAGGAAAGCCTCAGGGAGGGAGCCTTGCAGAGGACCAGAGAGCAACCTGTCCAGGTGGGGGGAGGAGTTGCACGAGGAAAAAGAAAATTGAGGGATTATCTGAGGGATTATCTGTGGGGAAAATTGGATTACGGGGGTTTACAGAGTCCTGGGGGGGGGGGTGGGTGGGTAAGCTCATAGAGTCAAACAAAGCTGAGCTGAGACAAAAAGAGTGAATTAACTCAAGGGACATGTACTTGGGTCTGTGGTCATTGATAGTTACATAGTCATAATATTAAAAGCATGAAGTATGGCTTTTAACCAAACTTGTGTTAAAAGACATTGAGAAGGGAGTGAAGTAAGATGTAAATCCTCCCAGTCCATAATAGGAACCCCATGCCTGCAAATGAACATTGAAGGAATACCAATATAAGTTTGTTATTAGACATGGGGGGGGGGGGCGCGGTGATGGGTGTAAATACAGAAAAAGCAGCTAAAAGGAGTTAAAAGTGTTGGATCTGAGGAGCTGGATTTGGGCTAGGATAGGGGGAACAGAGGGCTTCTGTTTTTCCTTAACCTTTTTCTTCTATTTGACTTTTTAGATTTTAGGAAAAATCTGTATCTATATTCTTTATTAAAGATAACTTTTTTAAAAATACGGAATGCTTCATGAATTTGGGTGTCATCCTCGCGCAGGGGCCATGCTAATCTTCTCTGTATCGTTCCAATTTAATATATGTGCTACCGAAGCGAGCGCGATAACATTTTAAATAGAGTTTTAAAAAATTCCTTTTACCCACCAAAAAACAGGTGTGGCACTACCTTGGCTTTCTCTTCTCCTGGTGATGTCAAGTGTATCCCTGCTTCCTGGTCTAGTCTAGGTTGGGCCACATTCTTGTCAGGCATGGTAACCAGGTTGCACACCTTGCCTGCACAGGCTGAATGACTACAACGTCAGGAAGGACTTCCCAACACCTTCCTTTGGCTCTGACAGTCTCATCTTCCTCAGGCAGCCACATCCCAGAGGTTTGCTCCACAAGAGAATTGAATGGCTGAGGCTGATCAGCAGCATGAACCCTACGGCCAGAGGATGGAGCTGGGAGTGTAGAGAAGGAAAGGAGCCCAGGGTATGGTTCTGTCCATTCATTATCCTGCCCAGGCACAGCTGGAGGTGGGAGAGGTACAGGAGACAGACAGGACCTGGTGTTTGCATGGGCTCTCTGCTGAATAGTCCAGAACCAGGACAAACTCACAATGCCTATTCTAGATAATCCAGGACCTTCTCCCCACCCAACCCCATTGGAGGCAGACGGCCTAAGGAAGACAAGATAAGGTGCCTGGGCAAATCCTCTCTTCCTACTTCTCTCCTACGAGCCCAGCCAGGAGACTGAAGGGTCCCAGGTTTGATTCAAATCAAGGGCACATGCCCCGGTTGCGGGCTCGAGCCCCTGTAGGGAGCATGCAGGAGGCAGCCAATTAATGATTCTCTCTCATCATTGATGTTTTTTTCTCTCTCTCCCTGTCCTTTCCTCTCTCAAATATATATATATATATATATATATATATATATATATATATATATATATATATATATATATATAATAGCCTGCTTTCCACATTTGGTCCACAAATCTTTGTGGAATGCCTATTGTGCAAGTACCATGCTAGGCACAGGGGATACAATGATAAACAAAAGCAGACAAGGCCCAGGTCTTATAAAGGTAATAATCTAGTGAGGGAAAATACTTCAGTTGAATAATCACCTTAAATAAATGTATGATTACAAAATAAGATTAATGCTATTGTGATAGATACTCTAGTAGCCCCTCAATGTCCATTCTCCCTTTATGAGTAGCATAGGTAAATGTCCACTTTCAAGGAAACATATGATTACCTAGAATAACAAATACAGTTACCAGCCTTCTTGCATCAGATGTAGTCATGTAGCTAAATTCTGGCCAATAGTAACAGAAACGGTATGTATAACTTCCAGAAAATGTCTTTAAAGGAGGGGGCTTGCCCTTTTTTCCTCTTCCTTCTTCTTGATTGTGGGAATGTGGACATAATGGCTGGAGCTCCAGCTACTTTCTTGGATCATGATGCGACTTTGGGAATGAAAGCCATGTGTAGTGGAACAACAAGACTGAAGAAACCTGGGTTCTAAGCACCATGGATTAGCGCAGGACTTCTGCATGTGAGCTTCACTTTTGTTTAAGCCACTGTTACTTGGGGTTTTTCTGTGATTTTTCAGTTACAACAGGGAGATATGTGGTTTTATCAGTATATATAACATGGAATCTGACCCATACTGGGGGGCTTCTTTGAGGAAGTGATGCTTCAGTTGAGTGAGCCAAGAATGAAGTGGGATGTAAAAGGGTTTCAAGCAAAGGGGAAAAGTCCCTTTGCAATGGCCCTGAGGTGGAAGGGAGCTTGGCATGTTGAAAGGAAGAGAGGGAAGGCCAGGTGGCTGGAACAGGAAAAGCAAGGAGAGAAGTGGCACAGAATGAAATCAGAAAGATGACCACATAGGGCCTCATAGGCCTGTTAAGACTTTTGGTCTTTATCCCAAGAATAATGGGGAGCCATTGAAGGGGTTTCGGCAAGGGGTTACCGGGTTAGATTTGCTCTCCCCTTGGCTAATAGTTCCATTCATCTGAAACAGCTACCATGCCCCACCCCAGAATATCCTTGAGGCCCAGACAAAATATTGTTTGCCGGTGGATAAATTTGTGTGTGTGTGTGTTTTTAAATCATTTTATTGCTGTGGTAGAATATGTAACACAAAATTTGCCACTTTAACTGTTTTTCAGTGTGCAATTCAGTGGCTTTAATTACATTCACAATATTGTGCAACCATTACCACTATCTGTCCCCCCACTTTTTTGTGTGGATGAACTTTTGCACTTACTAAACATTTAACAACTGTGTGTGGGATTGAACGGTATCATTGCAGCAGTCACTGTGTGTGAATTCCTAGAAAGTGGGCTGTGGGCTGTGAGGAACAGTTGACCAAGTCAGGGTCAGCTGGGGCCGGCCTGAGGAATGTCATACCCTGGCCAGCAGGTCCGCCAATCTGTCAGCTGTCACCAGTCAGGTCATTTGGTATGCTTTACTTAAGAGGAAGAATATATCCCCTGAACTGGAACGGGGACAAGACCAGAGTTAACTGATGTTTGATGTCTTTCAAGATCTTAGGAAAACGTTCTGACCTAGTTGATCTACCAGAGAATGCCAGAAGCAACGGGGATTTTGTCTGTGATCCTCAACGTGGGGCAAACAGTTCTCTGTGGATATACCCAGTGATGTGCCCAGGGTACGTGAAGCCCTAGCAGAGACACGGGGCATCCTCCTGGAGCATTCATTTGACTTGATGGGAAATAACTCACATGCTTTTATTTTCAAACAAATTGTACATGCATTATGAGACAGAAAGTGACATAATGAAGTTTAAGTGTAAAATAGAAGGTTTAAAGAACTTACACTTGCTGGCTTGGACCTTACTCTCAGATTTCCAGGAATATTTGTCCCTTTCCTCAGCTAATAGTAGTATTTTGGTATAGCATAGTGATTAGGAATAGACTCCCAAGCCAAAGACCCAGAGTCAAACTCTCGCTGTGACATTTCTTAGCTGTGACACCTTGGACAAATTATACAACCTAGCTGAGTCTCAGTTTCCTAGTCTGTTAAACAAGAAAAATGATTGTACCTAGTTATGTGTTAAATATTTATAAAATGCTTAGCACACACCACATTTGCACTAGGAGCTCTTTTTTAAATTTTATCTTTATTGTTGAAAGTATCACAAATGTCCCCCCCCCCCCCCCCATGAACCTCCTTTATGGGTACGAGTAATAGTATGAGATGGTAATGTTTTAGACCTTGGGCTTTCTTTTCAAAGTCTTCAAACTGACAATACTAGCAGTGCTCTCTGCTGATTGTAAGATAGTCAAATAATATAGAACTCAATATAAGAAATCATGGAAGTTCCCGCTTCCCCTAAATTCCATGACCACACCAGAGGTAAACACAAATAACTGTTGCTGAGCATCCTTCCTTCCAAACATTTTTTTTTAATTCAACATTTACTGAGCACCGTGTACTTTAGACCCTGTTACATTTTCCTCCTCATTCTTCTGCTGTGTTTTAGGGCATTTTGGCTGTGAGGCTGATCATAGCCTTCTTCCAGAAACTTGTGATGGGTGGCATTGCTGAGAATAAATGAAAAACTGTGCTCCAGACCCACAGCTGTGAGCCACCCTGTCCACAACCTCCCTCTAGGAAAAGCACTTCGACAAAGGATCTTTTATGGAGAGTCTGATGAGCCTGAGACACTGGGGAGCTTCAGGAAAAATGGTCTTGACATTTTTTTGTTGTTGTTCTCTTTCAACTTCAGGCTTCCATCTTAATTTTGTGATTTCATACTTAATGTGTTGAAGGTTGAAGGCTGATAGAAGCTGCTAGTTTTTCCACTTCATTTCTCATTGTTTCCCTCTTTCTTCAGCCTGGGACAGGGCTACTCTGCTGTTTACTTTGTGGATTGTGGTAGTGAAGGAACCCAATGGACTTGCTCAGAATCCACAATGAACTGTGGTACCAACTCTTCCCACTTTTCAGGTACAACCATGAATCTTTGCATAAATAAGAAGATCAAATGAATAAGAAATGTCCAACAGTAGCAGAAATGTCACTATAGCTGTGATCTGATCACTGAATGCATGTCACCTTGGATAGCTTTCTGAGACTTCTCTGGGTGTACTGTCTTCTCTGGCCGTCTTATCACACTCAGTATCAAATCTCCATCTTTCAGAGACCTCACCACCTTTTTAAAATATATATTTTATTGATTTTAGAGAGGAAGGTAGAGGGAGAGAGAGATAGAAACATCAATGATGAAAGAGCATCATTGATCAGCTGCCTCCTGTAACCCCACACTGAGGATCAAGCCTGGGCATGTGCCCTGACCAGGAATCGAACCGTGACCTCCTGGTTCATAGGTCAATTGCTTAACCACTGAGACATACCGGCTGGGCAGCACTTTTAATATTCGAGATGACTACCCCCAGTTTCTGAGCTGAACACTTGTGTAACCAATCTTTTAGTTGTCACATCACATTATTTAGGTATTTCATGAACTCAGGGTCAGTTACTAGCAAGGTGAGTCACATTTCTGCATTTGAGCAAAAGTTCCAGATGGATATATGGGCTTTATGCCACACTAAATTGCAATGCTGTTGATGCCAAATGGAAAGCGCTCCCAGGAGTGCTGCCCCAGCATGGCCAGGCCCACAGATGAGGCTCACGCCCACGGGAGACGGCAACCACAGGGCTCTGCAGCTGCTTCCTGCCATTGGTTTCAAGTGTCTAAACATAAAATTTCATACTTCTAGCATGCACACCTTAGCATATGTCAGTCATGCCTCAATGAAATGGTCAAAAATTTGATAGGAAAAATCAATATAATCTAGGATTTTACTAATACAGGGCAGTGGTGTGCTGGAACTGGCTTGTCCAGCTTATGAAAGCTGATAGTTAAATTTTAAGCAAGCCAGTTGTTAACTACAGCCATCATTAAAACATAACTTATGCACTCTTACAATTAAACTAATTATATTTTTTTAAAAGTAATAACTACTTGCCCTGGCCAGGTGGTACATTTGGTTGGAACGTCATTCCATACACCAAAAGGTTGCAGGTTCCATCCCTGGTCGGGCCACCTACAGGAGGCAACGGATTGATGTTTCTCTTTCACATCGATGA